AGGGTCGGTCTTGAGAAAATGGAGACCCTGTGCAACAATAAAATTTGGGTCTTCCTTTCCATCAGAAGTAGAAATAAAACATAAATAGGTTATAATAGTAATAAACTACTCATAATTTGTGTTACCATACGAGTTAATATTGAACATAATAGTAAAAACAAAAGTATTCAAAATTACTTTTTCAAGCCTTCTTTTCTTCTTAAACTTCACATGTCTAGATTGGTATTTTTTTTAAACATAATCACTATCACTTATTCAAATCTTCCAATAATCTTATACTACTTCCTTCCCAAAAAACTATCTTTTTGAAACCTTTGACCAATTATATCTTTTTATTGAAAATTATTTATATTATAAAAGTGATAAAAATGTTCTTTGTTAAAATTACTTTTATAAAAGTTTAAAATTTATAACTTTCACGATATTATACTAATCAAAATCAAGATTCAAATTTTATGAAATGACAAAGTTTTTTAGGGACGGAAGTAGCACATTTTTACAAATTTCAATTAGACGTTAATTTAATTTTAACTTAAGGACTTTAACCTAACATACGGTTATACACTTATACCAATTTGTTAAATTAAAAATAAATAGTTTAATTAATGAAAAACACCAAAGCCCTGTTGGCCCTAATAAATAATTAAAATCAGCAACTCAATCACAATATCACATGATAATGAATAACATTAAATGATTAATACAAAATAATCGCAACAAATTTTAAAATTCAATAATCAAATACTCACCCTGTCCGGAAAAGATTTGCCAAAATAATTTAACTGTGAAATTATTTAAAATACTTTCAAAGTATATTATATTTTTTAATAAGAAATTATTTTGAATATGAAAACTATATAAAAGTGTTCCTTATTTTAAATATTTTCATAGAAGTATAAGATTTATAAATTATATACAAATATAATAATTAAAATCATTATACAGAAAAGGAAAAGTAGGCAAACCTTTTCCGGACAGAGGTAGTATTATTTAAAAGTTAAAACAGAAAATTACCTGGAGGCGCAGTCAGCCAGTCGTGGTGCGGAGGTGCCGGATTGCCGGGTGCGGACGTGCGGTGGCGAGTGGCGAGTGGCGGACCTACACCGACTACACGGCTACAAGGACTGCTGGACGTCGCTTGGGACCTGAAGTGGCCGGCGACTCGGCAGCGATTGAACGGCTTTGTCGATTCGGCGGTCAGGGGATGCGGATTGCTGCCTAGCTTTACTCCGTGTCTCCGTTGCTTCATTCTTTTGTTGGCCATTACTTTTCATTTTTCATCTTGGACTTGGGCTAGTGACCTAATAGGCTCTACTAAATTTTCATTCTTTTGGGCTTTCTGTATTTTGGGCCATATACCATTACCTGGACCGGCCCTATCAACTCTCTGAGTCCAACTGCTGAGAAACCTGCGTTTATACAAGAAGATATTGGGCTTAAACCCATTAACATTTTTGTTCCATGTCTACTTCCATCCCGTCCAAACCTCACAAAAAAAAATAGGGAAAATGGACAAATAAGCCCTCGAACTGATCAAAAATGTGCAAATCACTTCTTATATATGAGGTTCTGTCCGACCGTTGCCATTTGGGGCGGTTCCCGGTGGCAGCTTTCTATGAATTTTTTTTAGCACCTTCCTCATTAAGTCTACTTTACTCATACCAAATTTCAGCTAAAAATAAAACCGGGAAGACAGTCAAATGATTTGCTGAAATCTACTCCGTAGTTGTCTTCAGAAATTCATTTGATTTCCTTCCCGATTGAATTTTTTTATCTTAAATTTGGTATGGTTAAACTAGACTTAATGACGAAGATGCTCAAAAAATTCGTTAAAAAATTCCACCAGGAACCTCCCCAAATGACGACAGCCGGACAAAGCCTCCTATATAAGGGGTGATTTGCACCTTTTCGATTAGTTTGAGGGCTTATTTGCCCATTTTCCCCCAAAAATACATCTTTCATTCCGCTAAGATTGTCTCAGTATCTATTCCCTTGGTGAATACAAATCACTCTTAATTTCTTACTTTATATGTCAATTTTTTTTTATCAAATCTGATTTGGTTTTTCGACTTTGTAAAGCTTTTAATGTAGTTTCTGAATACGTACAAAAAATCTTCTAAACATAATTTGAGTGCGGACAGAGATATGTTTGTTTTATCGTCGGCCAAGTATCGTAAACTGAATTGTCTTATTCGTATTGGGATGGACGGAGTAATCTATTTGCAATTCATATGTCCTTACATCTCTACAGCTATATATCGTTAATCGTTCCATCGTACTTTAGGCCTTCAAATCATTAACACTGTTTTTACAGGAAAAAATGGCACTAATATTACTCCCTAAGTTTCTATTCCCAAAAAGATGACCTACTTTATTTTTTTTCCAAAAACGTAATCCGCCCAGCCCATTGATTTCATCGATCCAAGCAGCTCTCCCTTCAACTCTACCTCCGTAGAAGCTTCATCATCCCCAACATCATCATTGCAGACCGGCAACCTACCTCATCGTCGTCCCCATCATAGTCGCCCCCTTTCTTTGTCATCGCCCTCCCCTTCCCTGCATCGATTTTCTTTTTCTTCCCTTTCTGTCCGGTGAGTGGGGAGGCGGATGGGAGTCGAATCGGGCGTCGTCTTCATCAATGGAGGCGTGTGTGATACCAGATGGCGTCCTCATTGCAGGTTCATGTGCTATCTTTCCAAATCTGAACAGCGGCAACGCGAAATTAGGGATCTGACTACTTTGGCGGGGCAAATGCAGGTAAAGGGTGGCGGGCGGAGGGGTAGGGGTAGCGGGGGGGGCGTTGTTGGGGATTGAGCAATAACGACGGTCGGAAATTAAGGGGGTGGAGGGTGAGGGAGTTGCAAGAGAGTCTGTGGTGACGTGGGGCAGTGGCTGAGGCCTGGTGAACGAAGGCATTTACGGGTCGGAGCGGTGGTGGCTGGTCGCAGTGGCCGGTGGTGGTGGTAGTGACGACAGTCACTGACCGGAGGCAGCGTTAGTCACTGACAAGAGCTAGCGGCAGTCACCGATGAGGCGGTGCGGCGGCAGTCACTAACGAGGGGCGGAAGTAGTCACTGTGGTCCGATGGGACAGTCATTGTGGCCGGTGGGGCAGTCACTATGGCCGGTGGGCAGTCACTGTGGCCGGTGGGCAGTCACTGTGGCCGGTGGACAGTCACTGTGACCGGTGGGTAGTCACTGGGTAGTCAAAGTGACCCCAGTCATTGCATTTCAATTATAAATTATACGACCAGGTGTATTAGAAGGTCATATTATTGAAAATTTGTGTTTTAACTTACTTTTTGTCAAACCATCTTTAATTAGTAATATCCATATAAAAAAGGCCTTTTTACGGTCATTCAATTGAGACACTTGAAATGATAAACAATTTCAAAAGCAAACTTCACATCAAAATAATAAAGAAGAGGGAAACCTCAATGCTCATTTCTAATTAACCCCACAATCCAATGCGCATGTTAGATTCTCAACCTCAGCACTACATTATTACACACACTTGGGCCTCCTTTGTTTTACGGCGGATTGGTACTCACCCGCTGCATTTTGCAGCGTTTCTAAGCGTAAAAAGTATAACTGATTGGATAATCCGCTGCTTTCCAAACGGACCCTTGAGCATTTCAACACTAGCATTGAGGGTGACGAACAACTGTCCATCAATCATGTTAATAGAAGATAATAATAAACTAAAATACGTCATATTTCACATATTCAAATGAGAGGTCAATCAAATAATTGTGTATAAGGGCATTAAGGGTTGTGTACAAAGAACAAAATTGTTGCAATTATAAAGGTTAATGTGTGAGAAAAAATAAAGTTTATTTTGCACTATTTGTGACAAAACTAAGATGTATGAGTTGCTCAGTTTTTGTATGAAACCTTTTTTTTTTCTAAGTACCTTAGGCTCATCAGTGACTTAAAACCTTTATTCATTCATTTTTTCGTTAGCTTGAGGTTATCTCAACTTTAGTGGACTGATAATGGACTCCCAAGAGCTCACCCAAACATTAATAAACCCGAGTGATCGAACAATACATAAAAAGTCACTCTTGAATCATTGAATGTGTGTGTTCCTAGATTCTGAGAGAACCGCCGTGACTAGACTATGTCGTTTGAGAAAATGATTTCAAATTCCCCCCCCCTCAATTGATTGATTGCGGGTGAGAGTTGTCCGGTTGAACTACTTCCACTTAGGGGTGTTTGAAACAACATTAAAAAATGTTTTCCAGTTATTGGTTTAAAAAACGGAAACAAGTGCTTTCGTGATAACTTCTGCTTAATTTGAGCATCTAAAAATTAAAAGCTAGAAGTAAGAGCACTCGCTATGGGGAGGTCATTGGGGTAAAAAAAATTGATGGCACTTGATCCTCACTAATGAATTGATCGATCAAGATGCAAGGTTTAAAGTGGGAGCTGACAATTTGTTTTTGACTAACCAATTAAAGAAAGTCAAATGATTTTTTACTTTGAAAAAAAAGTGTAAAAATTTTAAGTGATCTAGGTCACCACAATGGGGATTAAGTTTTGAAAAAAATATGATGTGGAAGAAAGAAGAGGAGATTGACATAAGAGGGTGCTTTGAATTGTTTTCACTTTTTTCTGATAATACATAAAAAAAATTCAAATATATTACAAAATTTTTGTATTTCCTCCGAATTTAAAAGATTATTATACATTAGGTTTTGAAAAGTACCCTGTAATGTGTATTTTTATTTAGGACTAAAACAGTTTGAAAATTCCAAAATAGGACTATCATGTTTTTTATTCCCAAAATATGAGTAATTAGTGCCAAGTTTGTTAAATACTGCCATGTTTGAAGTCTGGTACTGCCAAAACATGACAGTAATTAGTCCTATTTTGGGATTAAAACATGGCAGTCCTATTTTAGAATTTTTAAATCTTTTTAGTCCTATTTCGGGTAATATTCTTTTTTTTTAAACCACTTTAAAATAATTATAACTTTAAAAAAGTATAAGCCACGGGTGGCAGAAACTTCCATCTTTTCACTCAAAGCTCCTCCGCGGCTCTACCTTTCTAAAGAAAAAGTATATTCGGACCTTCATGACATAATACCAAGTTGAAGAAAAATTCAATTGATAACAAACCCGTGTTGGGAGATCCGAGATCATAACACTTCAACCAATCTCTCTTCCTGCTTGCCACTAAATTCAGCTCCCAATTTCTATCTTTCCGTTAAAAATTCGATCTTTTGCCATCCCTATTTTGATTTTTTTGGGGAGAAAGTTCACTGTTTCGTTGCTTTGTAAACCGCAAATCCTAGGTTCATTGGTTTGCTCATTATCAACGAACCCTAGGAAAGTCCCATGGGTGAAGCGTAGGGCGTTTTTTGGATTATCACAACCATCCAGATCGCCCTCGTCTGTTGTTACGCTTAGTAATGGCGGCGCCGAGGAGTTTGGCTGTGGATACTGGGCGCTTAGCAAGAGATGAGGAAAAGATCCTCGATTTGTCCGACACCTATGCCGGGGATTCTCCTTCGGCCAAACGATTCAAGGAGGGAAAGTTTCCTCTCAGCCGCTGGGAGTTCGCGGCGGCTCTTGCCGTGTTCACAGTGTGCTTGACCGGGCTGTTCTGCATCTACTTGACAATGCCCGCTGCTGATTACGGGAAGCTCAAGCTTCCTCGTAACATTTCGGATCTGCGGATGCTCAAGTATGGGTTCTTTTTAACAGCTAAACTTTTGACAAGAGTATTATCAGTAGAAGAGAATTTTATGCTGTAGGGAGAACATATTCATATGATATAAATTGATTCTAAGAATCATGTGTTATACATTAAACAAAGCCACGCTTAAGCATTCTTTCATAAAGCTCTGTTAGAATATGATTTTAAATTAACATAGCTAAAAATAAAAAACTGAAACTTAAATGCTAATCAGTTTTTCAGAGTGAGATTATGGAAGCATGGGCTAAGGTTCCTATGAATTCAAGACCTCCCAACCACTTTTGAAATTTTTTTGACACTGAAAATCAGATGGTTGTTTTAACTGCTACTTCTTGCCACCACAATTTGGTTCTAGATTGTCGAGAGGATAATTGATGCCAAATGCCAAATGGAATGTGAACCTGTTTTGGTTTCATGATGTCATTATAGTGATAGCCAGTCTAAAACTATTCACTACTTAAGAGTGGTTGTTTTTGCTTAAGCTAAGCTTAAGTCATATTAATCCAAATGGTATTTTGTACTGCCTCCGCCCCATAATGTAAGATACACTTGGATTTGATGCAGGTTTGAAGAAAATAAAGGATAAGTTATTGTTTTTACAATTCTAACCTCCAAAGTAAGAAAAGATAGGACGGGTCCACAAAAAGTAAAAGTTGAAATGATAGATATAGGGATAAAGCGGGAAATTAAAAAGTTAGTGGAGTTTAAGGTGTTCATATTTTTTGGACTATCCGAAAAGAAAAATTTAGCTTACAAAATGGGACGGAGGGAGTACCTCCTAAAGAAAGAGAGTTGATGTTCAAGACTTCAAGTCTGAATGCTTGGTTGACTTGATTTACCTCAAGTTGGTCTGAGAAAGGAATAGCCTGGATTTTTTCTACCTTTTGCTTTAACTCATTAAGTTTTTGGAGATGCTAGTATTTTTTTCCAGTTAGAGGTAGCAAATGGTGATCTACATATTTAGACGAAAAAGATGAGATGCTTTATGTTAATGTTGAATGGATTTCACACTTTCTAGGATCTGATGATACCTACAGGTTCAATCGTGCTCTTTCTTTATTTGTTTCGGAAAAAACCTGCTTAGATGCTATTAGCCTTTACCCATTTAGACTTTAGACACACATGACTGGTTATTTTCCACATTTACGGCAGTAATTCTTTGGTAATATCTTTATGCCAATCTTAATCTGCATAAGTTTCTAAGCTCATGGTTTATATTCTTAATCTTATATGTCAAGTAAGCACATGTAATTTTTCCCAAAATTTTTCAGGGACCACCTAGCTACATATGCCAATATGTACCCAGCACGATTCATTTTGGGTTACTGCTCAACATACGTATTCATGCAGACCTTCATGATTCCTGGGACTATTTTTATGTCCTTGCTAGCTGGAGCACTTTTTGGTGTTCTTAGGGGTCTTTTCTTGGTTGTCTTCAATGCCACAGCTGGTGCATCATCCTGCTACTTTCTTTCTAAGTTACTTGGAAGGCCTATAGTTACATCACTATGGCCTGATAAATTGAGATTTTTCCAATCCGAGGTAATTGTGATGAATGATGATATTTCCAAATGGTGACCCATGTACCAGTATTATTCAAGTACATGATTTTCTTGATAATTATTACTAATAGTAATTAATATTGTAATTGCAGATAGCCAAACGCAAGGATAAGTTACTCAACTACATGCTGTTTTTGAGGGTAACTCCAACCCTGCCGAACCTTTTTATCAATTTGGCGTCTCCTATAGTGGATATACCATTCCATATTTTCTTTCTGGCCACAGTGATTGGTCTTATTCCTGCCTCATTTATTACTGTCAGGGTAAGCGAGTCTTTACCACATATTGATTAGCTGCACTGCATCCAGCTCGGAAACTTTTGACTTTGACCTTATATTACACTTGCTACCTCTCTTTTTAAAATTGGTAATTTATGAAAATGGAAACCGACAGTTCGAATGAGAAAAATCTTTTGTTATTAGTGATAATGCTTTTTAACCAAGCATTCCAGCCCAGCTGGTTGTGAGGTTACCGTGCCTAGTGGGAGTTCTCGAGTTCGAAACCCGCTAGGCACATAAGGGTTTGAAACTCAATGGAGTGGGTTTCAGCCCTCATTACTCCAGGCCCCCAGCCCCCTCCCCCAGACCCCCCTGGAGCAAAAAAAAAAGTGATAATGCTTTTAAATCTCAAACTTATGTTGTCCTGTTTGTACATTCCATTATCAGGCTGGCCTTGCTCTTGGGGATTTAAGATCAGTCAAAGATCTATATGATTTCAAAACATTGATGGTTCTTTTCCTAATTGGTTCTGTCATTATATTACCAACTCTACTAAAGAGGAAGCGGACATATGAATAAAGCTTACGAGTGAGTGCAGAGTGCCATAAAGATCTCTCCATGGCAAAGGGAATTTCCTTGGTGCTTATTTCTACCGTTTGGATTAACAATGAGAGCAACTCGTGGAGGCTGACATTTATTTGTGGGATAGGCTAGAAATGTAACTGTTGACAAAACAGGAAGTATAGTTCTAATGGTTCAGAAAGATTAGCTGAGATATGAAGAAAAATATACTGCTCACCTTGTATTCATCTACTTCAGTCATAAGAACCTGCAACACGTAAACTGTGAACCGGAAGTTGATTGTAACATTGCATTGGGCAGCAGGCCAGATATGAGATGGTTCCGAGCAGGTGGCCATATGTTATATAGCTATTTTTCAATGTAAACGAGGAGACTGCAATCCATTCCTCATTAGTATTTGCAGTTAGGAAAAGCCATTTAAAATTGGCTTGTAATAATAATAACAATAATGTATGTATCTTGGATTGTTGGTACTTGATATATATTGGAATCTAATTGACTGGCATTTGTCTAATTGCCAGTGATGTTAAATACAAAGTATTATTAGGCGTGGTCCGGTCCGGAACCAGTACTGTTTGGCCCCGGACCGGGTCTGTTTTTCTGGTTTCGGGCCTAGGATTGACCCTGTCTGTCCATGTAGGATACCCGGTGCCGGTTCACCGATATGGGGGCCGAACTGGGCGGTCCCGCCCGACCGGGCAAAAATATAATTTGTTATGTGTACTAGTTTGAATATCAGATCTCATGTGTGAAGGGTGAATTTTTCCATATAAGTTTATGATAGCGTGTTTATTTTTCCATTCAAATTAAGTTTCCCACTTACAAAAACTGCTAATTCTAGAGGCAGGCTGCTTGTTTAATTGATCGGTAAATAGTGGGTTCGTCAGTTGTTCAATACTCTGAAACCTGAATTTTAACTTAATAAAAGATACTCTGTATTTACTAAATAATAAAAAGGTTCATTTAGAGGTCAGGTCTATTATTGATTAAACTTCCCGAAACATTTTAGATTTTTAGGTGTAGGGTGTTTTGGATATGATATTTGAATCATTTTCAGTACTGGACATCAATCCATCATAATCGAAACTAATAAACAATATTAGCTTATGATGATTGACAACCATCGTTTGATATGAAATGAAAGATTCTTTTTGCGCTTCTTTGTTATCCAATTTTGATTCTCGCTATAAATCACCCGGAAACATCCTCTGTGTTTTAAGACATGAGTAAGACTGCGTACATCTGATTTGACCTTAGAGCATCTCCAATGATAAAATGTGCACGGTACACACGTGGCATGAGAAAAATAGCCACATAAATATTAGTAAATAAATCCTTTCTCTCCTTATTTGAATGATTTTATACATTTCTGGTAAGTTTTTCTCCACACTGTCAAGGAGACCGTCTAGATGTTGACATTGTTGTTGACATTGCAGGGAAAAACTTAACAAAATTGTATAAAATCATTCAAATAAGGAGAGAAATAATTTATTTGCTAATATTTATGTGGCTATCACTCATGCCACATATGCAACGTGGACATTATAGCATTGAAGATGCTCTTACTCCACCATAGGTGGGAGCATTTGGACATCATTAGAGTTATTTCTTGGTCACGATGGGGAAGGAGCTAATTAGTGATCCAATTCTACTTTCCATCATCGTTTATGTAACCAATTTAACATATATTGAATTATCATATATATTATGGTCGAGTTTTTTTAGTTATTGTGAAATACTACCTCTGTCCCTTAAAACTTTGCCAAATTTGACCGGCACGAGGATTAATAAAATAAAAACTGTGTGATTGAGGTTTGTGCAGAGGAGAGAGAATTAGCTGGAACCACAAATTCTTTACTTAAAATGGAAAGTGGCAAAGTTAGTGGGACATCCAAAAATGGAAAGTTGGCAAAGTTTTAAGGGACGGATGGAGTACTTTAAATGAGTCATTTTCATAAATAAAAAAAGGGAAAAGTACGGAAATGATACTTGTGGTTGGGCCCGTTTCAGATAGCATCACGTGTTTCTTCTTTATCAAAGTGATTCATGTGTTTGAATTCCGTTATCACAAGAGGGCCACACCGTTAAAAACGTTTAAAAGAAAGTAACTCCGATTTTCAAAAGTGCCCAGAAAATTAAAAGAAAAATACCGAAAGGTACGCCTCGTCAAGATGACCTCCAAACCACCTTCGCCTTTGGATTTTTCAGATATGTTTAAATTATTTTTTAAAAAGACTTCACTAATATCACTTTTCCGGTGGACTTTCTGGTGACAAGAGTGGCTGTAAACAAAAAAGAAAGATGGTTCATGTGTATTTAGTGGTCTTCTTATTGAGACGCACCTTCCAGTATTTTTCTTTTAATTTTTCGAGCACTTTTTAAAATCGAAGTTACTTTTAACGCCCTTTTTCAAACCCTTTTAACGGCGTGACCTTCTTGTACGAACGGAATTCAAACACATGAATCGTTTTGATAAAAAATGAAACACATGACCCTATCTGAAAACAGGCTCAACCACAAGTACACTTCAGTACTTTTCCCTATAAAAAACCTCGTCAAAAAGTCATATTTGACTAAATGACGCTAATTTTTCATGTGATATACTATGTACGTTTTAGTCACTTAATTTATTGTGCACAAATAATACAGGAATATGAGAAGTAAGCTATATAAAATATCCAAACTTGCATACGTAATTTAAATATTTCAAACTTTATATAAAAAGTTATTTTAGCACCATGATCATGTATTATTTTTTCAAAAATGTCAAATTTTTATGTTAATTTCATAATTTAAAATATTTTAGCATTCATGAATATACAATAACATTCTAAACTTCCATTGTAAAATAAATAGTACTACCTCCCACTCTATATAATTGCAACGTTTTCAATTTGCTATTGAGATATTACCCGAAATAGGACAAAAAAAGTTTACAAATTCCAAAATAGGACTTCCATGTTTTTATTCCCAAAATAGGACTAATTGCTGTCATGTTTTGGCAGTACCAGACTTCAAACATGACACTTTTTTCTAAATTTGGCAGTAATTAGTCCTATTTTGGGAATAAAAACATGGCAATCCTATTTTGGAATTTTCAAACTTTTTTTGTCCTATTTCGGGAACTTTCCCTTTGTTATTTCAAATTATGCAATTAACATCGTAAATTTACATTTTTTGAAACAAACGATACATGACTATGGTGTTAAAATAACTTTTTATATAAACTTCAGTGTATTTAAATTACATATTAAAGTTTGAGGTGTTTATCCCACAGCCCTTCAAAGTTTGAGGTATTTTAATTATTTTTGGCTAAAGAATCAAATAGGCCCTTCAACTAGCTTAAAATGTTCAATTAGCCCCTTATATAGGAGGTTCTGCCCGACCATCGCCAATTATGGAGGTTTCCGGTAGATTTTTTTGATGAATTTTTTTGAGCATCTTCTTCATTACGTCTAGTTTACGCATACCAAATTTCAGCTAACAATTCAAACGGGAAGGCAGTCAAATGATTTTTTGAAAATAACTGCGCAGTTAAACAACAGAGTACATTTCGGAAAATCATTTGACTGCCTTCCTGGTTGAATTTTTATCTGAAATTTGGTATGAGTAAACTAGATTTAATGAAGAAGATGCACAAAAAATTTCATCAAAAAATTCCACCGGAAACCGCCCCAATTGACGTCGGCCGGACAGAACCTTCTATATAAGGGGCTAATTGAACACTTTAAGTAGTTCGAGTGCCTATTTGACCCTTTAGCCATTATTTTTTCCTATATAAAAAGATCTATAAAATTTTGTTTTTAGAATTTTAAAAATAAATGATGGTTAGTGAACTGAAAAAACAAATCATATTAATTAGATCAGAAACTTTGAAATTCAAAATCTTGAAAGGTAAAATAATTAAGAAATAAAATGACAAGTGACAGAACATTTAAGGACCGAATGTTAATTTTCATTAAAAGTGAAAAAATACTACTGTGGAGGTACAACACATGACGTACAACTGTGGATTTATAGATATATGATATAATATGATTACTAGTTTTCAAGCCCGTGCGATGCAGGAGCAGTACATAATTTAGCTAATTGTAAAATTGATTGTTTTTGAAATCATATACGTAGTATAATTTAGAGCTCATTTGATAACCACATTATTTGGGTTATCAGGTTTATCAGTCAACTTTTTCACCAAATATGTAAATTTTGATTTCGCGCATTGAATTGTGTAATAATAAAAAAATGTAGGGTTAAGGTCACTTTTTCGGATGTATTGTTGAAGTTACTGTACATGACCATTTAATCTATATTTCATATAATTTTTTCTTTATTTAATTAATAAAGTATATTTTAAATATATTTTTTTTACATAAATCAACAAAATCAGCTAATACAGTCACTTTAGCCAGAACTTCATAAATTTCAACAGAATCAGCTAATTCACTCGATTTTGATGTTACCAAACGGGCCCTTAATGTGATACAAAAGCAAAATAAATTTGGTCTAATATTAATCCGTTTGATATACTAAAATTAGTTGAATTGTCTGATTCTACTGTAATGAATTAAATCTAACTGATTAGACTGAATTAATGGAATCTCTCGAATTATGTAAAAAAAAATATACTACATATATCATTAATAAAATAAAATAAAAATTATCTGATATTTTTTTTCAAAATGGACTTCTACATAAGCATCCCAACTAATTAAACATAATTATTATGAACCGCATTTTAAAGAATTCACAAAAATATTTTTTAATTTATCTCACATACTTTAAATTATTTTATCAAGCATCTCAAAACACTAATTTTTTATTTCTCATTCAACATGGTATGAAATAAGTATTTTTTAAGTTTTAACATTTTACTCATTATTTCGTCATATTGAAAATGCAAAAAATGGATCATTACTCAATGCAAAAAAGTTATTTTACAAAAATAAAATACTAAACTTTAGTATTATCAAACGACTTTATATTACACCAAGTGTATAAAATAACTTTGAAGAACAAATATTATATTGGTGTTATATTTCTATAATCAATTTATACCACTAAATATTGTTCTTGCAGATGTGGTTGGCATGGTTGTGAACAATTATGATCCTAATCCTACCATGTCATCATATATAACAATTTCTTAATTCCTTTTTATACCTTTTATTTTTGTATTACATTCTATTTTTTATTGCATATTGATATGGAAAGAAAATATTATAGGATATAATCCACATTACTTGGTAAGTTTTTCATGAAAATAAGTAATTGTTATGATGTGGATTCTATCCTACAATAAATATATACGTAGTATTAAAAAGTAATATTTTAAAATATTAAAGTGAATAAATATTACTCTTTTTACATCAATCGTTCCACTTTTAGATTAGGCCAAGTAATATTTTATATTAGAGTAATGTGGATTCATATAATACATATAAATGTTCATATGTTTATGTATCTTTTCACAAGTAAATACGTTTAGCCCAACTAAAAAAGTAAATATGTTTAGTTGTTT